TTTCTAGATGCAGAGAAATCATTTGACAACTTAATATGGCATTTCTTTTTGAATGTTTTACAAAATATGGGCTGAGATTCAGCATTTTGGAGCTGAATGCATGGAATACACTCAAACCAACAAGCAAAGATTTTAATTAATGGGAAAGTAACAGAAGCAATTTCAACTGAAAAAAGGACACATCAAGTATATCCTTTATCCCCTTTATTATTTATACTAGCAATAGAGATTATAGCTATAAAGATTAGACAAGACAACAGAATTAAGGGAATAAAAGTGGATGATGTAGAGTTCAAAATGAAAAGTTATGCAGACATCGTGGTTCTAACAGTCTTGAATCCCCAGAAATCGTTGTGATATATAATTGAACATATTGAAGAATTTGAATACCTATCAGGCTATAAAATTAACAAAAGAAAAGATAACAACATTTTTGACACAACAAGAAGAAGAGATTATAAAGAGCACAAAGTGCTCATCAGCCACTGACCCTATTAAGTATTTGGGAATAAACGTGACTGGGAAAAACTGTAATATTCTTAAAAGTAACTATCAGAAAACTTATTAAGATGGAAAAAACTAAAAATATTATGGCTGGGAAGAATCTCTACAATTAAAATGAATGTGCTGCCAAAACTAAACTTTTTGTTTCAGATGTTACCCATATACATAGAAGAAAGGATACTGAAAGAGTAGCAAAAGACAGATAAATGAATTTATATGGAATGGCAAAAAAACAAGAATCAGCTTCAATATATTACAAAATGAGAAAAAGAGAGTTTAGCAGTCCCAAATATAAAATTATATTACCAAGCAGCAGGTCTGGTCTGGATTGTGGACTGGATTAAAAACCCAAGACAGAGAATAGTAAAATTATAATCAGCAGATCTTGATGAAGGCCTACACAATTACTTATGGATTAAGAAATCGACTTAAAAGATCATAACACAAGAAAGGAGTCACATAATCAGAGATGGACTTGTGAGAATATGGTTCACATGCCAGAATTTATTGAACCTCTCAAACTCTTTGCTTATGTCCCCAATAGAAGCTCATTATGATAAGAATATGAGAAATAAAAATGATTTTTTAAATTTATGGTATGATGATAAACATGCAGGGGAAAATCAAGTCTTGGTAAGATATTAAAGATGAAGATATAAACATTCAATGTCTGGTACATTATCAATTACTCTCAAGACTAAAGGAGGTCATGAGTATTGTAGAGAAAGTACTAAGAGATGCAACTCAGTTTGAACAGCTGATTATAAACCAAAAAAGCATTTACTATAACGAACACATAAGATTTTACTCCAGCTAGAAACAGAAGATCAAAGTGAAAAAATGTATGATTAAGTGGATACAAAACTTTAAAGAACAGTTATCTATGCAACAATGGGAACAACTATGGAAAAATATCAAATTTACAGTCAGCCAGACACTAAGTGAAAATTGGTACAAAATGTTTTTGTATATAACTCCAAAGGACATTGAGAAAGCACATAAAACTACAAAGGAAAATGCTGGAAATGTCAAGACATGGATGGATCCTTCTTTCATGTGTGGTGGACTTGTAAAAAAGCAAAAAGATATTGGAAAGAAATAAGCCGAAAAATGCAAAATATATTAAAGTTTAAATTCCCAAGGGAAGCCAAGAGCATGTTATTAGGTGTGCTGCCTAACAATTTATCAAAAATTTCAGAAGAGATATTCAAATACATGGTGACAGTGGCTAGAACTATTTACGCAGCAAAATGGAAACTAGACATCTGTCCACATTTAGAAGAATGGGAAGATAGACTTGCTGAATATGTAGTATTGGCAAAATTAACAACCTATTTGAGAAACAGGTCTATTACAAAATTTGAGGAAAGACCAGGGGTCATTTGGGGGGGACGCGGGGGGACGCCATCCCCCCGGGTGAGGTGTGGGAGGGCGGGGCCTGGAGCTCCCTGCTGGTGCCCGCTGGAGGTCGCCGCCGGCTGTGGGGAGGACACACTTCCGGTGATGTCAGGGGGTGTGGCATATGCTAATGAGTTATGCTAATGAGTCCCCCTAGCTCTTTTTCTACAAAATGACCCCTGGGAAAGACAGAAAGTGTACTATGTGTATTATGCTAGCAGGAGACAAACTTGAAGAGAGAAAATATCATATACAAATGTATGGTAATGAAATAGAAGTAGAATTAAAATCTGTTCCAGATATGATATCCTGAATATAAATGGGTTCTCTATATGAGATACACTAGCATAAGTGTGTACAGGCTTCTGTAGACCAATACAATATGAACACATGAGGCTGCCTTATATTGAATCAAACTCGTGGTCCACCAAGATCAGTATGTTTACTCAGACCGGCAGCAACTCTCCAGTCTCTGGAAGAGATCTTTCATATCACCTACTACCTGACCTTTAACTGGTGATGAACCTGAGTCTTTCTGCATGTCGAACAGATGCTCTGCTACTGAGCCACAACCTCTCCTTAATATCTCTTTAGAAAATGGTATAAAAACCTGCAACTCCAAAATGGTAGCAAAACTTGTGGGAAACCGGATTCTCTGAAACCCAAACTCTGAATTACTGGCATCCTTGCTTGATCAGGGTTCCTTCTAACATGACCTTTCCTTACTTGCCTTTTAAGAAATGGGTAAGGAAACAAGTCAAAGACAATCATATGTTTCATGTTAGGAACATCAGGCCTTTGTACATGACTGTAAAATCCAGGAGAAGGCTCTGAGAACTTTAAGACCAAAAATTTTCAGGATGCTTCCCTGAATGTATTTTTTTTAAGGTAAAGGTTTCCCTTGCTTGAAAGCCAGTCGAGTCCGACTCTAGGGTTGTGGTGCTCATCTCCGTTTCAAAGCCGAAAAGCCAGCGCTGTCCGAAGACGTTTCCATGGTCATGTGGCCGGCATGACTAAACACCGAGGCACACGTAACTACCTGCAGTTCAGTGTCTTAACCACTTGAGCAACCGTAGCTCCAGATTTTTTTTAAAGGGACAACCAAAACAGCCCTCAGACTCTCCTGGTAAATCTTTTTGCAACAATACATAAACCCTAGCCTTGCAAGAGAGGTGTAAGCCTGCAGAGCTTGAATGTCGTCCTTCCCTCTGCTGCTGAATTATTCAGCATCAGTTCTGAGGCTTGGCTGCAATCCAATTCAGCCTGGCAACCAGGCATTTCTCTCACCATAACAAAGCCTTCTGTTTCAAGAAAGCCTTCCAATAGTCTCTTGAGGAGCAAGGAGAGCTTTGTTTCTGCTTCCTCCATCACTAACCCTGACAAAATCTCATGGAGAATGAAGAGGAATAACATTGACCACTGAGTAAAGCTCGGGGGAAAACAGTTTCTTGGTGTTCACGGTTAGGAAAAGGATATTGGCCAAACCAAATGGAAAGCCAGTTCTGCTGCAACTAAACTAAATTACTGAGTGTTCAGAAATAAAAGCAAATATAAGGTGAACATGATTGCAAACCACCTTAAGTCATGTGGAGTCAGGTAGGATTTCAATTCAACATATCATACATCTAAAAGCTTTCAGCATCTCAGGCTACACTCTGCAAACTAAGAGGCACAGCCTATGCAGACCCCAAGAGGCAACATGGGACCAGCTGTACCATATGGTATTCAAGTGTTGAGTGACTTCTGTCTGAGAGCTGGATACAGTAAAGCATAACATCCACACTCTGGGAACTGCTTTTTCTCTGTGTCTGGAAGTGGGTGCTACCTATGTTGCTGATTTAAAGGGCACAGGCTGAACCAATCACAAACAAGGCAGAGGCTGCAGGGCCTTCTAGCATGCCAGCAAAAGCCAGATCATTTTGGCAAGCTCGACAGCAGACGATTCTGTCAGCAGCATTCCTACTAGGTACCCATAAAACCCACAGGAGAGCCAGATGGGATCGCTAGTAGCAATTGTGCCACTTTGGGCCTGAAGGAGATACTGTAGTGCTTCTAGGCAGGCTCTTTCACCCACCCAGTCCCAGCAGATATTAGTATTAATTAAAACCAGTCCCAGCAGAAGAAAGCAGCAGCAGCAGCAGCACAAACAGCAGGAAACACAGTTACAGCATAGAGAAAGGAAACCTCGAGAGCAGACCCCACCAACAAGATTTTAGGAGAGCAGGCCACATGGCAACTTTCACCTGATTACTGAAAGGCAAATATCAGTTAAAATAAAGAACTGAAGACATTGTGGAGGGGAAATTTGGCTTCCCTCCACCAGGAACTCCAACCAAAGACATAAGCCCTATGGCCCGGAACAGGCTCCCTTTATGGAGATTAGGTGGGTACACAACCTATGTCAATCAAGACCCATTTACAGTAGCTGCACAAAGGATAGATGAAGTTGGGAAGATCTCCTTGCATGATGAGAAAAAGGAGGACAGCTGTAGCATTTTCACATCTGGTCCACTTCTTGGAGAAAATAGCTTTTTTGTGCAAGGGGTTTCCAGCTAAGGCTGACAGTTTTGGATCAGGAAATTCCTGGAGATTTGGAGGTGGAGCCTGCGGACTGTGTGGTTTGGGGAGGGGAGGGACCTTAGTGGGGTATAATGCCATAGAGCCCACCCTCCAACGTAGCCATTTTCTCCAGGGGAACTGATCTCTGTAGTCTGGAGATCAGTTGCAATTCTGGGAGATCTCCAGGCCCCACCTGGAGGCTGGCAATCCACATTCTGGTGCAAGACTACAAACCAATCTTTTATCATTGCTCTGAGGTTCTTGAAAATAGTTAGCATCCCTCTTTGGCAGTATAGACTGGATCATGTCCAATGTTTCTGTTATTTTCTCCCCTCTCTGCATTTTTATGGAGATATTTGTGACTCGCTTAACCCCTGCCCTGGGCAGCTAGGAAGACAAAAATATTTTGGACAGCTTTTGCTGACTTGGCACATGGGCTGCTGGGTCCATTTCTCATGCTGTACTTATGTTCCTTTGCTATGACTGAGTCTGTGAGAAGCAGTGAAGCACACAAAATACCAGCAATGGGGAATACACACATTTAGGTCCTCCTGGAACAGGATTGGCTAAGAGAGATAGGAGAAGGGTGAGGGGAAAAGACAAAGAAAATAAGAGTAGGTTCATCTTATAGGAATAAGGAAACAGCATCCAAGGGCCTTTCTATATTTCCAGAAAATCTGGATTTAATTCTTAGTGTAACACTAGCACTGCAGAACTTTATCAGACACCTTCTAAATAAATTGGGGGAGGGGAAAATCTAAAAAGGCTCTCACAATGGTGAGACCATTGCAAGGGGGAAGAAGCAGCCTTACTGGGGTGCAGTGATTACCCAGTGCATCCATGAAATGTATGCCAGCCACATGCCCCACAGTGCCTGCTTTCTGCATTGTTGCTTTAGCTGGGAGAAGGGAGTAGATTATATCTTCCTAGGAATAAAATATTGCATCTTGGAGGCTGGGAGAAGAAACAACCCACAACAGATGTGCTAGCTGGGTGAAAAGATGTTTGGATCCTCTGCGGCAGCTGAGCATTATTTCTCATTTGCTTTGCAGTGAAATCATTGAATAGAAAGGCCCCAAGATACATGTCCTTCAGGTCAAATTCCTTCTCCCCCAATAGCAACAGGAAATGCAAGGTGGCGAGAAACTTCTCCACATTTGTCGGGGGAATCAGCATACTCCTGTGATTGTTCTACTAGGCCAATGAATAACTCAGCAAAGGAGATGTGGTAAGGAATGCTCACAGCAAGGTACAACAGGTAAAGACAGGGTAGAGCAATGAGAGCTCCAGGAACAGAGTTAACTTACAGTCATGTTCCACATTACAGAGGCACTTGCTTGTGACCTTAAGTTGTTCTATGCGGTAATTATTATAGCACAATGAGCCGTTTATGTCCAGTGGTTCAATGCATGGAGTAGGGAATTTTTACCCTGCCACTGCAGAACATTTCTTTTAGGTTTGTGGAGGTGTGATGAAAATACCTTGACATGAGCCGCTACACACCTAGAAAAGCCATCATGTGGAATTACTTATAGCAGCTTCCACGTGGTAACTATAACATGCAAGGGGACCTTTAGCATCCTCCCTACTGTCACTTCTCAGTGGATTAGGAGAGGCAGTGAAATAGACAGTGAAACTATGCAGAATGTAGATACTGTTCTGTTAAGGGAGGTGAGAATGACAACGCATTGGCAAATGTCAACCCCCACCCAAGGCACAAAGGCAACTTACTGTCAATGATGTCTCCCAAGCCCTGGGCGTACAGGAGGTCTCTTAGACGAGCCACTTCATCCTTCAGTTCTCTAATCAGCTTGTTGTTAGGATCTTCATTAATGACAGCATTGCACCTGATCTGCTTAGCACGGTCGGCATACCTAAGAGCAAACAATACAAGGAACCACGGTGTTTGGGAGACTAAAGATACAAAACACACCGTGCATACAAAATATACAAGCTGTAATAAAGGTTTTAATAAACTATATCCCATGTGATTCAATAGCTATACAATTCTGTTATATGAAACACCTAATTTCTATCCTTATTATCAACCATATGGTTCCCCTACACAATATATTACAACTCACATTAAAAAGTCTAATTTTAAGCTTAAATATACAAGACCTCAATGATTCTACAGCAACAGAATTCACAACATATATAATACGAGAGGTAAATTCAGCAGAAAAGTCCAATGCAGTACATCAGGTTAGTTAATTCCAATTTTACAGGTGAAAATTCAACAGGTAAGTTCACCAGGAGAATCCAGTGCAGTGCAGAGGTAGGTTAACTCTGATTCTGCTATAAGTACCAGTCTTAAACAACAAGTTAACCTGGAGATTTCACAATGTTTCACCCAGGAACATTCTGTATTCCTTAATTGGCTATATGCTGGTAACATGATGTCCTCTTTATCTTTCCACTTGTCTCTGTTGAATTATGTCAGTTTCACTTCTGGCTTTTACTTTAGGCTTATTAGTTTCACTTCTGGTTCTAATTCTTGGTTTAACAGGTAATCTGGTAGCCCCTCTTTCCAACCATGCTTCTTCAGAAGCCGTACAAACTGATATTATTTCAAACAGGAAAGCCTATGTTCTTCTCAATCAGGTTCTCATGGATGACTTCTCTACCTTATGAAGAAAAACTCTTATGCTGCACCTGTGCTTACCAATCAAGTGCATAATTTGAAGACATTAGGATGTGTGATGCGTGTTTTGTATCTTTAGTACCTAAGAGAGCAAGGCATATTCTGGGGGAACTAGAAAGGCTTGCTAAAAATGCCATGCAGTGTGGCACATACAGAAGAGGACCTCTGCAGACCATTAGAAAGGGAAACATGCTGGGACTCCACTGGAAAGGGAGTTTCCAGAAGCCCTTCAATAGAAACGCAGAGCATGTTTTCATTAGAGTAAAGGAAAACACAAGCATCTCTTTCGTTCACTTGCTTTAGGACTAGACCTAGCCTCCTCTATAAGGCCAGTGAATCCAGCAATGTAAATGGGGTTTTTTTCAAAAGCAAATGATCAAAACAGTTTTCATTGCTCTTGCCTACAGCCAAATTCAAGATAATTCAGTGAAAGACCTGAGAAACATGACAAGATGTTTCAACGACGTCATCATTAGTCAACAGCAAAGTATACTAAAAGCCTTGGATAAGAAGGAGCTGTATTATATCATCACTAAGGAATTATGGAAAAGTTACAACATGTAATGAAAGCTAGACGGCTAGGAGAGGAGTGTATAAAAATATGTTCAATTAGCTCAATTTTCATGGCACCTGCAATCAACTCAAGGGTAACCTGTCACCATCAGAGAGCTCTTCCTGTTTAATATCTCTGTTTAGAATGTATGGCAAATATGCATACTTTCCCCAGGCTGTCTAAAAGATAATTCGCTGCTTGAGTTAGTGCAAAATTATTGGGGAATAATAAAGTAGCCAAATTAGCTACTAGTTAATACAAGCCCAGTATTTACTATGGAATTGTCTCACATGGATATTCAATGGAACCCTCATTTCCCAGCTTAAATGATGCAGATTTCCTTTTTCTTTGTTCAATTTAATTCACTTTATAAGCAGCTCCACTGCAGCATATCTCCAGTTGGTTCACTATCCCAACACTATCCAAACATTTTTTTATGCTTCCCAGAATATTTTGCAAAGAAAGAGTGCAGCCTATTTCCCCTGCCCTCATTTAGAGTGCGAGAAGTTTTGCACAGGTCCTACCTTAAGGTGCTGAGGGTCTCATCATAGTTGATGTCAGCAGGGCTGAGAGCAGCAACCATAGCAGTTCGAGAGTTACCACCTGCCCAAAGAACACACAAAAACGTTGGTTGAAACCATGATAAATGTATATGCCACACTGCCTGGCTATCTTCATCTTCTCCTTAACACTCTTCCTCTATATCTTTTCTGTATGGTCACCATATCACTTGTCTACTGACCTTAGGCCATGGTCAGCAGATAACCCAAACCTCAACAAGTCCCATCTGGGTGACATGAACAAAAGCAGAGTACAAGTATTAACTATTATCGGCTGGGATATGCTGTTACAATTAAAGAAGGCAGCCCTGTTGTTCATTGGATTGTGCAGAAGGGCTGTCATCATGAGTAATAGAGAAGATCAAGAATCTGGTGGACCACTGCCTTGACATGTGGTCAGATTAAAGGTAGAACTGAAAAGAACAAAGTACCTAGGTTTTCTCGGAGAAGCCAAGTAAGTACAGAGTCTCGGTATGGAATAAAGTCTGTCTTTTTCTTCTTTTTATTCTGTAGGGAGACAGAACACAACAGTGGACCTCAGATTGTGGAAGTATATGCTGATTCGAAGAAGACTATTAGACAATTAAACCCCATCATAATTATACAATTAAACCCCATCAAACAAAACTCACGGATATTCTCAAAAACAAGAAATTTGCAAAGACAGAGTAATTATATAATATTGTAACAGATTTTCCAAGTAACAGATATTGATCAATACTGGGGATCTTAGAAGAAAAAACAAGCTGTTTATGGAGATGGCCGGATCTTCCTGTAAGAGGAACAGTTGTGATGTGATTTTCTAGAGACAGGATATGCAGAGCAAGAAAAGATAAAACCAGAGCTCTCATGAAACAAAAAAAAAATGCTTTCAGGCCTCAGGTTCTCTAGTTCCAGCTCCTGCCAACCTAGCAGTTCGAAAGCAAGAAATTGCAAGTAGATAAATAGGTACCGCTTCGGTGGGAAGGTAACAGCGTTCCGTGCTCCTTGGTGTTTAGTCATGCCGGCCACATGACCACGGAAATGTCTTCGGACAGCGCTGGCTCTTCGGCTTTGAAACGGAGATGAGCACCGCAACCCTAGAGTTGGATTCGACTGGCTTTCGAGCAAGGGAATCTTTACCTTTTTTACAGGCCTCAGGGAAACTTCATTTTATAATCAGGATTGTTCCAGTTAGAATAAAATAGTATTTTCCCTTAAGCACTGTTCCACAGGCAGCTAATTCATATGTGTGTTCTATCCATAACGTGTTATTTTTTCATAACATTATCCAAAATGTGAAACATGCTCTCAAAACCAAACTGACCAAATTTACATTCACCAGTGGCCAGATGATAATCAAGCAGCCACTGTATATGCAAAGAAGTTAGTGGAGCTAAGTTCTGAGATGCCAAGACAGGCAATTTTGGGGCAATCCAGTACAGAAATAGTGCAATCTTTAACAGAGTAATTCTAAGCCCACTGAATTCTAATTCCATTTATTTCAGTAGGTTTAGGATGCAACTTTCTTTAGGATGGCACTGAAATCTCACAGAAGCTGGCAGAGTCCAAAATCTCATCCTATGATGTAGGACTGTTTGTGCCCTACTCCTGTTTTTACACCGTTATGGACTTTTGTGGACCTGACCTAGTTAAACCAGGCTAGCCTGATCCCATCAGATCTCAGAAGCTAAGCGGGGTCAGCCCCGATTTGTACTTAGATGGGAGACCGCCAAGGAAGTCCAGAGTTGCTAAGCAGAGGCAGGCCATGGTAAACCACCTCTGTTCATCCCTTGCCTTGAAAACCCTACAGCGTAGCCATAAGTCAGCTGTGACTTGACGGCATTTCCCATCACCACTGTTGGTTTTGACAGGAGTCTCAACCTATCTTGCTTTGGGATCGTTGGTGCCTTCTTCCTCTTAGCACAGCCTTGTTAATTTCACCTGCTCATTTATTTTAGCAGAATCTTAAAACCTGGCTATGTCATGATCCCAGAGCCCTTCACTGTCTGCTGGCTAAATCATACTATGTCGTTCCAGCTGCTTAAAAGGCCATCTTTTCCTAATGATAAAACTAAGCTCCAAAACACAAACCATTAATATCTTTCTTCTACCCAATCAAAGGTAATTACCTTATTTGGTCCTGAATCCTGGGGGGAAAAAAACAGAGATAGTGATGAGAATTTCATTAGCATGACCAGAAGAGATTAAAGAGAAAAATTAAAAGATTGAAGTAATAAGAACATGGGACAATATCCTGATTCCTCACAACTCAGACATTTCAGCTGGGGAAAGGCAGTCATAGGAGGTCAATAGAATAGTGAGGGGAAAAGTTAACCCCCCCCACTCCCATGCTGCAGGTCCAACTCTAATGCATAGCCTCCAATAGTTACTCTTTATTAAGGGGAAATGTATGGGAAATCCTGTCATTTCAGTACCTTCTCTGGTTTGGCTCTGAGAAGAAGCTCAGTTTCTTGATTGAGCAAAAGGCAGAAACCAAAAGAAACAACAACAACAAAAACCCTCTACTTTACAACCAGTGTAATGTGGACCACTATGTTTCACTAATGCTTCAGCAGTGATGGAGTAGCTGTTTTTTCTATTTATTATTATTTTTGATTATTTACAACAACATTGTGGATTGTTTTGTTTTTTTATAACACATTTTTTTGTCATTAGCCTAGGCTAATTTGAGGAAACCAAATGTATTGCAGGAGTCCAATTTTAATTCTCAAAAGTCTTAAAACAGCTCTGGGCAGATGTTTCCACTCACATCAGTGAAACTTACCATCTCAGCCAGAGCAGAAATCACCTTCCCCAGCGTAGTTAGAGATTTATTGATGTTTGCTCCCTCCTGTGTGAATGAGACAATCCCAATTCCATCAATGAGGTATTTTTAAAAAGAAACCATTTTTACAGCTCACTACATTCCACTTGACACAACTGCCAGGATTCAGCATTACTAGTCTTGAGTTATCTTCTATGACACACATCTCATAGTGACAGAGAATTTTGCCCACTGGTTTCTTTCCCCAAAATGAATATGGCAATATGGGCTGGCAAAACACAGTGAGCCAGTATTAGCAAGGCTAGATGGTAGAAGAGGAACAAATGATGAACAAACAACAATTACAAGGATACTTCAGTTGTCTGGCATATATAATTTTTAAAAATCTTATGCTATAAGGTCAGGGCTCAGGGTCTCCAACCCTGCATACATCGAAGGTACATGTATAAATGTCTACCTTAATTTGGTCCCTTCTCTTACCTTCAGCCTTGTGCCTTTGGCTCCTGTGGAGTCAGCCCGTTCACTGCCTGCAAGATCCACCAAACTGATTTTGCTGACCTAAAATCAGAACAAAAGTTATTACCCATGATACCTGCCACCAGGTCTATCTGGAGCAAAAGAAAAAAGATACTTTCACTGCCATTCAGACACGATAAGGTATTCATTTTTTCCATACACAGCAGAATCTCCAAGTTAGGAAAAATAAGATGGGACATGACTATCTCAGCTATGTCTTCACATTTTTGGGACGATGCACATATGAACGTCTAGCAATACAAAACAGTTCAGCAGCAGAAATCTTTTACAAGAGGAAGTGCTGAAATACAGGCTAACTCAGCCCAGCTCCCGCTTGGCATGACCTCTGAATCCTCAAAAAACAGGATCATGAAACCGCGGGGAAAATCGGGCGAAGCCGTGGGTCAAAACGTGGCTGTGCGGCTTCGAGTGGGAAATTGACCAATAGAAGCAGGGCAAAGGGAGGCGTGACCATGGCACAGCACTCGTGTGAAATCGGTCCCAGTGTGCTGCAGGGGTGAAAAAGGCAAACTTTACATTAGGGATTATTAGGAAAGGGACTGAGAATAAAACAGCCGATATTGTAATACTTCTGTATAGATCTATGGTGAGGCCTCCAAAAGGACATTGCAGAGCTGGAAAAAGTACAGAGGAGGGCAACCAAGATGGTTAGGGGGTTAGAATACCTTCCCTATGAGGACAGGCTGAAGAGTTTGGGACTTTTCAGCTTAGAAAAGAGACAACTAAGGGGGAACATGATAGAGGTTTATAAAATTATGCATGGAATGGAGGGAGTTGACAAAGATAATTTTTTCTCCCTCTCCCAAAATAATACAACTTGGAAGCATCCAATAAATCTGATGGGCAGTAGGTTCAGGACAGACAAAAGGGACTTGCTGCCAGAGGATGTAGTGATGACCACAGAAATAAACAGCTTTAAAAGGGGATTAGATAGATTCATGAAGGATAAATCTATCAATAGCCACTAGCCATGGTGGGGAACCAAGGGGAACCTCCACATTCAGAGGTACTAAGCCTCTAAATCCTAGAGCCAGGAGGCAACATCAGGGGAAGGCCTTAGCCTCTATGCCCTGTTGTTGGCCATCCAGATGAACTGGTCGGCCACTGTGTGAGGCAAGATCCTGGACCAGATGGACTATTGGTCTGACCCAGCAGGGCAATTCTTTATTTGTGAAATCAAGTAATCACTTTTCATGTCCAGAAAGACTCCCAAGGGAATGTACAATGAAATATCCAATAAACAATAGTGATATTTGGGTTGCTTGTGCAGTTGGGATGGTCCTGATGACAACAGAGAATAGGAATTTCTTCCAGCTCAGACACTAATCCACAGGATATACCTTCAGTGGACATTTCACTTTTGGTGGAAACAGCGCTGGTAGCACTAAGCCATTACAAGGCCCCTGTCTCCAGCTTCTGTTCTTTCCATACACTCCCTCAAGGCATGTGAAAGCCAGAATGGATAAGCAGGGGAAGTGAATAATAGCAGGTTCATCTTTTGAGCGATTTTTAAAAGCTGCCTTCACCCCCATTTGTTGTATCCCATCAAGTCAGTCCACCCAGCTAAACTGCCATGTCTGAAACAATGCCAGAAGCCACATCACAGTTCAAAGGGTGCCAAACTGAGCCCCTTCCCAAACTTTCTTGCTGCCGACCTCTGTTAGGCTGCCCTCACACACCTTCTCAGTCGTGACGTCAGTTTCAGCATCATGCCGTTTCTGAGTGAAGATAATATTGAAGACAGCATGAGAGCGGCTGCTGGTTTCATTCATGTTGGTGGCAGCCACCGTCCTGTTGAGCAAGAACAGCAGGCAAGAGCTCATTTCTATTTCCTATCAGACCTGGCAGAAAAATTCAGTGCTATTGGAAGGCTCGTCTCCAGGAATTCAATACTCCCACTCAGTTGGAAAGTGTGGTTAACCAAAAGTACAAGCAGGCAACCCGTACTCTAGCACTAACAGTACTTGTGTGCAGAAACAATCCTTTAATATCACCATGGGAAGCGCAAAAACACTGGCAGGGTACAAAATAGAAGGTACTGAAGTAATTTTTCGCCAGTAGAAGAATAAGGCTATCTGTGCTGTGCCTCCAGCTTCACAGCTAGCAGGGAGCATTAGGCAGACACCATGTACAAGCACTGCAAACTATATTCTCCAATGGAAGTCTGGATAAAAAATGGTGTTTCAAAAGTATCAGAAAATACAGAGGCTGTACAGCAAAAAGGGGTAGAAGTGGATATTAGGATTCCATCCCTAATGCCTCAACATAGAATATCTCCCCTTTTAAAATTTCTGGGGCCAGGAATCTTTTTCAGCTACTTCTTTGAACTTAGTAATGTCCCCTCGTCCACTTTTGGGTTCTTAGTAAGGAATGACTCCCTCATTCCATCCTTCTCAGGCTTTTTACACTTTGTTACATGACCAGCAGGGTCAAAATCCAACATGCTTCTCATTCCAGCAAAACATTTAAGTCATGACTCCACTGGGAAGCATCATTCTGGGTCCCATTATAGCTGCATGAATAACGGCCATTCCTTGTCTCAATTCTACTGGGCTCAACCTTCCCCAAGGGTTTTCTAGATCCCCCTGATAACTCAGCACCATCACTATGCCCTTTTGTATTACATCTGCTCCCTATCACAAAGAGAAATAAGACTGATAGGAAGACCTCTGAATGATAACCAAATCCATGACTCCACTGGAATATGGGATATGCATTCCCTTTTTACCTGGCTTTGTTTCCTGAGTCCATCAGGTCCTGGATGTCATTATAGGATGTGACAGCTAGTTTTGATAGATCCTCAACGTACGGCCCAAGGAGTGGGTGCTCTCTCACCCTCAGGTTCCCTTTATTCTTGGGGTTCAGGAGGTCACGGACACGTTCACAGTATATTTCCATGTAACTTACCTATGGGATACAATGTACAGAGTATGAAAATGACACAATAAGAAATCTGAAACAAACAGCAGCACAGGAGACAGTCTAGCATCTTGCCTACATACTCTGCAAACCACATTTTTAAGACAAAAATAAATCTACCACTGAATGTAGCAGTGAGTTAAATGGCAAAAAATTCTTAGGAAGACCCCCCCACACACAAAAATCCTGCAAAGCAACTGAATATAATCCAGGAAAAAAGTGAGAAGAAGCTAAACTCCAGTAAAATCACTGGGATTTAAACACTTTTAGGCACTCTAGTAGTCAAAGATGTCTTGCAAAAAGGTCTTGCAAAATTCAAAGCAGCATGCATAGGAAATGGCACAAACAGCAACACTGAAAAAGGACTGACAAGTGAGCTGTTTGGTGAACATCAGATGAACATCATTTCTGAACATTCAAGGATGGTGGGTATCCATAAACTCCCTACAAGATTAACATTGACTAGCTGAAAAGAGCAAGAGTCCAGTAGCACCTTAAAGACCAACAAATATGTGGCAGGGTATGAGCTTTCGTGAGTCACTCCCCTTCAGACAGAGTAACAGCAACATCTTAAATCAATACCAGGAGTGGACTGGCCATTTAATTTCCAGGGAAATTTCCTGATGGGCCACTGGTGGCCAGGAGTAAGCAGAGCCAAACCCCTGCAACTCTTCCAACACCTCAGAGGCTGTTTGGCTTAGACTCTTTATCAGCAATGGTTCTGGGTACTACCAGTTCACCAAGCATCTTTTCCTGCACTGTTGCCAGTTTGTGGGAGGAAGCAATGGATGAGCTGATGGCTCACTGCTGGTGCTGCTGAGGTGAGCGGCCCCTGAAATGCTGACTTCTAGCACCACAGCTGCCACTCAGCTTGACTTGCCCCAGAGCCATTTTTGCTTCCCAGTCCCCTCCTGATCAATACCTACACAGAAGGGTAAAGCAGCAGTCCTCTAAGGCAAGTACACGCATACCTGGGGCTAGTATAGCCTAGAAATTAATACCATGCTAATCCAGAGCATGGTTAACACATTTTACATAGCTTTATATCTCCACACGTAGATCTTATTTCCATGCATGCTCGATAACTTTATCATGTTCCCTCTTGCCCCCAGAATACTAAAGATTATAGACAAGTATTCATTTATACCTCCACTGAGTAGGACATGTTGTCGTTTGTTGTGTCATTGATTCGGGAAAAGAGGTCTTCACATAGCTGCAGAACAAAAGAAAGGAAGAGAAGAACTGAACATGTCACTAACATGTCACAAGTATTTATGTAAACTCCAATACAAACTCCTGCAATCAGGTCACTTAGTTTTGCCCATTAAAAATATCTGATCATCAGGCAGATCCTTCCCACGGATCTCAGAGCAGAAATCAGAGATCACTTTGGCTTTTTGAACTCAATTCCTCTTTTAGAGAGCTAGTTTGGTGTAGCAGTTAAGAGCACGGACTCTAATATGGGAGAACCGGGTTTGATTCCCCACTCCTCCACATGCAGCTTCTGGTGTGACCTTGGGTCAATCATAAATTCTTTCAGAGCTGTTCTCTCAAGGGCAGTTCTCAAGAGAGCTCTCTCAGCCCCACGTACCTCACAGGGTGTCTGTTGTGGGGAGGGGAGAGGAGGGGAAAGGGATTGTAAACCGCTCTGAGACTCCTTCGGGTAGTGAAGAGTGGGGTATAAATCCAATCTCTTCTTCTTCTTCTTTTATACACACAAATACTGACAATTCACTGAGCTAGTGAATGGCTGTTTCTATTCAGCAAACTATATCAGCTCAAAGGCCTCTATGCCGTTTCAGCACTTCTTGTTGGGACCAGCCTTCCTCTTCATTCCCTGCTCTCCATCTGTGTAGCTTGGTCACATTTCATAAATGGTTCCTGACTTTCTATATGGTGATAACTGCCTCTAACTCACCACATACTAGGTGGCACCACATCATTCCCTTCCACCAATGAGCCACTGACTTCCATGCCCATTTTCACCCACCAACTTAACTACTTCAACCACTTCCTCTCTTTCATGCAGCTATTACAGGCATGATCCTGTTTCCATACTTTACCTTTCTTTCATCCCAAAGACATCGTTCTTGGCCCTGCATGTATACTGCCAGTTTCTTGTCACAATTACCTGGGGAATGATGCCTTGTTGGTCCTTCTCCTGCCTGCCCATCATCGTATAGGACTTGCCAGCCCCAGTTTGGCCATAAGCAAAGATGCAGACATTATAACCTTCAAAAGCATGCTGCAGCATCTCCTCTCCAATATCCTGGTATACCTGCTTTTGAGAGGCATAGTTGATATCTTCAGGCTATAAAGAAAAAAGAAAATGGGGAAGAAAATAAGGAAAGAAGGTGAGGAACAGAGGATGAAAGAAAACCATACATCTTCTCCCCTTCCATAATACTATCTTCAACTGGAGACTATTCTAAAAGCACCATGAATATATACATGAAGCTATCGTATACTGAGTTCAACCATTGGACTACTAAGTTCAGTATTGTCTGCTCTGACTGGTAGCTGCTCAAATGGAGGTCTTTCACATTACCTACTACCTGATCCTTTTAGCTGTAGATGCCGGGGATTGAATTTGGGATTTTCTGCATACAGAGCAGGCATTCTACCAGAGACCCACAGCCCCTTACTGCTATTTCACATCCAATCAGAACTGTCTTTCCTCTACTGTTAAAGCAAGAAAAGTGATACCGGGGTTGGAGCACATCTGTGAGAAAATACCAGGGATCTGGGGGATTTTCAGTTTAGAAAATTACAATTATAGGAAAACTGAAGAGAGGTTTATAAAATTATGCGTATATGACGTATAAAAATTATGTTGAAGATACATAGTTTTCCCCCCTCCTCTCTTGTAACACTAGAACTTGGGGGCACCCAATAAAATTGATAGGTAGTAGAGTCAGGAGGACAAACAAAATAAAATACTTATTTTATACAACATGTAATCAACTTGTGGAATGCACTGCTGCAAGATATAATGAGACCCATTTGTGCAGGTGATTTACACAAATGCATGGAAACAAGTAACTCCATCAATGGCTATTTTTTTAAAAATATTGTTTTTATTTCATAAAACATGTCCAACACCAACACCACCCATGTGCAACTTCCAGGCATTAGAGACATAAATAAAATTCCATACAGTATTATATCACAATCAATCTCAGTACAACTCTATTACTCTATTAACCTTCCATCTTAATCTTACAATCAAATTAATCTCTCAATTTCCTATTAACTGACTAATCACCCCAAATTTTTTAAACTTCCCGCCATCCTTCTAAACCAGTCCTCCTCTTGGTCTTTAACCTTTAACCCATTCATTCTATGTATCTTCATTGTAAGATACTCTAAAATTATTATATTATTCATTTTTCCCCTCCAATGATTAATCGTCAGTTCCTCAGCTTCTTTCCAATTCCTTGCAATCACTTGTCTTGCTGCTACTAACATCAAATTTATCCATTTACATTCCTCTTTTAACTGTAACCCTATACCATCCAAACTAATAAGTGCCATTGCTTTAGATATCTAGAATATCCCATCAATGGCTATTAATTTGTATCGATAAATGGAATTTAGCACTACTCTTAATATCAGTTGATAGAGGGGGGAAACAACAGGGATTGGTTTGGGGTGCTATGTTGCCCGGCTCCCCTGACCTTTGGGACAACAGCCCGCTCCCTCCTTACCTGAGAGGTGGGAAAGGGAAGCCCCAATGATGGAGCAAGGCGGGTAGGAGGAGCCTCGGCCGGGTGAGGGCAGCAACTCCCAGGGCAGCCGAAGCAATTGGGGGGGCACCCCATAGGAGCCCAGCTTGGCGCAGACCCCACCCAGCTGCTTGTGAGGGCTGGAAGGGAGACACACACCATGGCAAGAGTCCAACCAGGTGCCGGGAGACACAGAGCGGCAGACATTCAGGGGGATACCAACCCCACTCTTCTCAGCTGCTTGAGGGGAGGCAAGCGGGGGGAAATTGAGGGGGAGCAGGGGGGCTGAAGAAAGAGCACAGTGGGATGGCATGAACTACCCCTTGAAGAGAAAGGTGTGGTGGGTGGACTCAGCTGGGGCAGAGACAGGGAAGATGGAGGGGGAAATACCCCAATCACCAGGTGGCATGGCAGAAGAAGGGAGGTGTGGGAAGGAGCAGGCGGAAGGGCAGAGGGTCCTTATTGGGTGTGGAGAAAGGGGAGGAGTGGAGCAACCTCCCTTTCAATGAAAGGGCCAGGGAGGAAGAAGGCTGGAGGGTTCCTTGTTGCTGGAACCAGCCAGTCAGGCTGATGGAGCAGTACGTGAGACAGAATACCTCCTGAGCCCATTCTGAGGCTGAGGAAGCTTCCTTGGGAGGAGCTGAAAGCATGGCAGAGGGCAAGGCACCTGGACAGGCACAGGGCAGGCCTTACAGGAGGAGATTATTATGTCCCTGTCAGAAGGCTTCAAGTATGCAAGTCTGCTTTCCTTATACTGCAGCCATGTGGACTGTGTTCTGATGAGGCAAGACATTGGTGTGAAACAGTTCACCACATGGTGTAACTATTTTCAGCCAAAACTACCCAAAAGTGGCTCTGGCTCCATGAATATTACTGGAAGCACATGGTCTGCACAGTTGAGAGTGTTGCATAGAACAGCTTCCATAGAGCTCCATGATAAGGTACCACCTGTTTGCATGTGTAAAGCTCATAAAGCAATGCCTAAGCAAGGGTTCGGATTATGGCCAATTTTCACCAGGCAGGAAGTATTTAATCAGTTCCCATCTAACTTGTGAATCAAAGAACAGCAATATGGAAATGGTCAGGAGGTAGCAACCCAAGGATAGTAACTGCAGATAAGGCAGTGAGAGAGGAGCTCCCCTTCAGCACACCATCCCCTGGTCCTGAGCTTCCCTCCTCCATTTTGAGACAGTGACAGTATTCACTGCCAGTGGCAAACTGAACTATAGGGGGTAACTAGGATTTGCTAGATGCTGATCAGCTGAGTCACTCTCTCCCTGCAATTCGCCCATGAATGGCTCAAAAAATTTCCTTTGAAATAATACATTGGACAATTTCCTTGAATTATTTTCACCAGACATTCATTCAGCAGTATCTCAAAGTAGATTAAAAATTAAAATTCAGGTCTAATCTGTTCAGTGATTCCCCCCCCCTCAGAAAATATACCCCATTCTTATGAGGTGATGTTCACTTACAGTTGTATGAGACCAATAGGAATAGTCAAAGCTGAAACTTTTGGGCGTCTCCTTGGGCTGCTTTGGATTAATGATAGCTAGGAAGGAACAGGAAAAACATTTTGATGTAGCAATAAAACATTCACATAACACATTCAGTTGTTGCAATCCTGGTGCTGTGACCATGAATATGGAATGAATATACTACATTCAATCTTCCCAATATACCCAACTCCATTACTTTAGAAAGGGGCAACGTGTGGATTTTCCATCTCAGTACGCATGTACCAGATCCCAGATTAATTTGGAGTCTGGAATGCATGCTAGAATATATGTGTACTGCCCCTTTCAGAAGGAACATCAATTGTGTGTCTTGAAAGGACTGCATGTGGCATGTTGGTTTGTCAAGTATGCATGGTCACCCATAATGCATGAAAACAACTACAAAGAATCTTCAAAATATAGCTCAGCTGTGAATTGTAGACAGAGGTCTTTGCTTTTGGTCTTAAAAATACACCTGTCAAACAAAGGCTGAGATGCTAGGGATTGCCTCCTTCCAGCACCCAAATAGACGAACACTCATCAATTTAGTATATTCAGCAATCATATGATTTGTAACAGTCCAAAGATGAATTTATTAGGTCCCCAGGTTTGGTCAGGGTGCATCACACAGAGTATTTCTATAACATGTCAACGGACCAATGCATCTCCGGTTTAGCAGAAAAGAATCAGGTGCCAAGTTTAAAATGCAGATATCTGAGGAAAATACTATAACACAAAACCAGGGGCTTCTTTTATCCTTGCAGTCTTGTGTTTTTTATGAAAACAGAGCTCTGCTGTAAAGGGGCTTCACAACATCGTTACAAAACAACATATTTATGGAGTTGGGGGTGAAAGATGAAACAACCCTACAACACACAGATTCAGTGATGAAGTTCTCAAACTATCATTTTTTCCCCATTTTCTTTTCATCATAAGGACAGATATAAGCCGAGTATTGGACCACTAATCCTAAAATGTCCTCTACAGCTACTAATAGTTCCCATTGTTATTAAATGGTTGTGATTTTGTGGGTTTTTTTAAGGCTTTGGTTGTCTTTGGATCAAGCCATACTCTCTCTTTAGGTAAGTGAAGGTATGTGCATTCTGGCATTACAGAACATTAATAAACCATTGCACATATATACAGACTCAACAGTAATCAGTACAACCAACATATTCATACCTTGCAACATTTAACAGAAAAAATGGGTTTGCATAAGTAAGTAGACTACTTAATATAAGCAGCCCAGTCCTAAGCAGACTTGGGTAACTTTAGGCCCATTGGGCTGTATCCTAACAGTTTTCCCACTGACAGAAGAGGGAGAAAGGGCACTCTCATCCAGTTCCCTTCCTCACTCCAGTACCCTCCTGCATAGTTCCTTGTCTATTTGGAACCAATGATCCCTGTATCAGTACAAGATACATAATTCAGAAATAACAGTATTAAAACAACCTGCAGGAGAACTTTAAAATAAAGTCCAAAGAGATCACTGCCTTTCAAAACACCCACAGGGCAATCACCTTGAGGAACCAAAAGCTATTTACAAGTCCTCCAAAACTACAAGGGAGACGTAGTTCTAATTTCCCCTGGAAAACTATTTCTCAGCACTGGAGTGGTCAACAGTTGGAAAATTAGTTACAATATTTATATCCCATCTTTTGTTTTCAAAATAAACACGTCTGTTACACACACACACACACACACAGAGAGTCAGAGGATACATATACCTTGCTAACATTTCTGCAAACAATGACAAGATAGCACAAAAGTACAAGTAGCCTGTCAGATTAAAGATAGTAATATAATCCTAGGGCCATTTCTTGGTCTGGAGTTTTTATGCTCCCTGTCTCATTTCACCTCCTTTGACCAAGACATTGCTTCTGAAACCTTTTTTGAAGAAATTGTTTCCTATCTCTAACACACACACACACACACACATATATACACACACACACATACACTGTTCAGCATTTTAATTATCCTGCTTGTAGTTAGTTGCCTTGTATGATACAAAATGATATAATCATTTTAAATTTAAAAAGAAATGACTAAACCATAATAGAGGTCCTTCAGACATATCTTGGCAACATGGGAATCATTTCAACATGGTCAATTCCATAACCAACAGACATGCTTGTGAATACTGCAACCATATGGGCAGGGCCAGCTGTATGGATCTGTATGATGCCAGTTCTGTTAGACAGATGCTGGGTGATCAGCCCCACCCACACAGTCATATTATTTACACATATGACCCTATCACACCACACATGAGAAGGCTAGTGTATTTATTTTACTTAAATAATTTATATGTCACTTTTCCACATTCAAAAGTGCCTATATAAAATTAACAAAACATGTTTTAAATCATAATTTAAGCAATACAAAAAATTAATTAAAACATCACTTAAAATAATAGCTTCAAAACAATTGTAACAACTTACCATGAATACATGACCAAATGGCATCCAGAACAGATGGGTGTTACAACACTTACAGAAGGCAGAGAAGAAAAAGCAGTTCCCCCTGAAATTTACAGTCTCAAAATGTAATAGAAGCTACAATCTTTAGATTATAGACCTGGTGGCTGGGGCTCTCTGTTAACTTTGTTTTTCTACAGCACTTTGATGTTGGTTCTTTGAAATATTAATATCATTAACTGGTGGCTTCACCTATGTCCATTGTTCTGTTTCTCTGTGATGTTTGCCACCTTGCAAAGAGGTATATCTATGAAGGACAGTTACCACATTTCTACCTAGTAACTTCCATTTACAGCAACAATGTAAAGTAACTATGGGGCTGGTTTTTGCTAGTAAATAAGAAGCTAATAAATAAGATTACCCAGGAAAATGCTGAGGATCTTTTCAGGTAGATAGAGATTGACCATTCAGAACAAACTAAAGAAAGAAAAGTAGAGAGAAGCCCTTCACGGGAACTTGCCTAGTTCATTAAAATCCAGAAAGAATTCAAGATTGCCCAAAATAAAATCCCGGGATTTTCCACACATGTGTCCCCCCCACCCTTTAGATGCTATTGGGAAGTGTGTATTTCTCCTACTTCCCCACAGCATGGTGTTACTTTTGCATACCTCCTAAATTTCCCCAGCTTTGCTGTGTTTTTGCCAAATCTGTTTTGGCACAGGGCTTTTCCACATACTTGACTTACTCCTGCATTTTCTTGGCAGCTGATCCACAAGCACTAGAATTGGTTCAGGCGTAGTTCTTCTGTGTGTCTGCCTTCACTCTTCACAATTGTGGAGTCCGTTTATTTTCTCATGTAAGTATCTTAAATAATCAGCCTTTCAAGGAAGGGTGCTGTCATCATGGGTGGTGTCATGGGTGGCACATGCACCCCCCCTTTTTTAAAAAGGCACTAAAATATCAATATACCAGTGTATCATTGTAGTGGCAAATGTAGCAGGTTCTCTGAGTTCACAGCTTTCATTTTAACAAAAAGTAAGTCTTTAGCTCTTTCCTTTGCAGAGATATGCCTTTTCCTTTTACCACACTGAGGGAAGGATCTAGAGGCTACTTTAAAAAAGGAAAGAAAGCTGGTGACTCAGAGAACATGCTTCACCTATCACAACAACATTATGGGCTTTCCCACATTCCCATTTCCTCACTTGTGTGTTCCTTTTGCTTTGGGGTTGTTGTTTTTCCTGTTTCACGTGTGTTTTGTTCTCTCTAGTGGTTGATTCTATATTACACAGCTTTATGTCCAGCATAAAAACCTGTGGTTTAAATCTGCAGGGAGATATGCCAGACATATAGCACTGTAATACTGAATCAGCCACTAGTTGGGACAAAACAAGCACAGAAAAGAAAAAAACCCTGAAGTAATCGCAACACACAAGCAAAAAAAAATAGAATGTGGAAATGCCCTATATCAATATTTAGATATTTTAGTGCCCTCTTTTAAAATAAAGCAAAACCACTGGTCTTGTCATGGAAAGGACCCATGGTTTGCCGGACGTCCTGGTATCGGACAACGGGCCCCAATTCACCTCAGGGGAGTTTGAAAAATTCTTGTCTGATAATGTTATCAAACATGTAACGTCTGCTCCGTTCCATCCGGCCACAAATGGGCAAGCCGAACGGATGGTTCGGACGACGAAGGAGGCTCTGAAGAAGTTGGGTCCCGGGGACAGAAGCTAGCCTCTTTCCTGTTGCAGCAACATATTACACCCTGCACCGCAACTGGAAGGAGCCCGGCTGAGCTTCTGATGGGACGCAGGCTAACAACTCTGTTAGACAGGCTACATCCAGACCTGACTGAAAGTAGACCCCCCCCAGATCAGAGGTCCAAGAATTGCCACGCACTTTCAAACAGGGAGACAAAGTGTTCATGCGCAATTATGCTGAGGGTCACTTATGGCTTCCCGCCATAATCAGTGACAATCTGGGTACCTGTATGTATGTGGCGCAGCTTGCCAACGGCAGGAAACTGCGGCACCACGTAGATCAGCTTAGGCAGAGGTGGGCTGACTCCAGTCTCGAGGCCAGCACCGAACCTAACTTGATCCTTCACCCAGAAGGCAAGCAGCGAGGGCCTCCAGACACGGAGGTGAGTGTTGCGGAGCCCCCCTTAGAAACAGAGTATGGGCTTAATCCCACTCTGGACAGTGACCCATCGGTAACCAGCCAGCCTGACTCACTGGGCAGTGAGCCACCCAGGGCTCCTGCGGTCGTTCCACCGCCAGAACCTACACGGCGGTCAAGTCGAACAAGGCATGCCCCCCCCCATCTGAAAGACTACATTTGTCAGGGTATTGTTCCATCTTAGGGGGGAGGAATTGTCGTGTATTAACTCCATCTAAAACCATATTAAGCTCGAGACCTCAGCCGGATTCTCATCTGGAACAACACCACTGGCTGAAGCATAATCTGTAACCAATGAAATGTAAGAGTCTGTGCTGGATGGAAGATAAATGATTGGGTGTTATCTCTGTAACCTGATTGGATGTTAACTATGTGAGGGCGTGGCTACACCAGCCCGGGAGAGTTTAAAAGGAGCTATGCTCCACTGTTGTGTGTTGTCGTGTCGTCTGATGCTGTGT